GGGGGGGGGGGTTATCGACAGTCTGCTTCATGGTGAACTCCGCCAGCTGCAGGAAAAAAGGGATTTAAAATCAGGCCTCACAGAAAATCCACAGCGAGACCAAAACACAATCCACTAAAGCGTGCATGACACCAGACGACTTGATTAAAAAGATATTGCCACCTGGGTGCTGGACAGGTGTGTGTACAGTAGTTTAGGTACTCTGTGTCCTACAGGGAGCACACTAATAAACCAGTTTGCCATGGTCTCCTCCTTTTTGCCACTAGTGACACTTCACAAGATGGCACAGTCGGGGGGGAGGAGGGCACTGTCACCTTGTATTAAAGCATCTTCTGAATAATGCCTCTTTGCACGTCACTGGGTCTAAAGAAAGCTTTAGCGCAGTGTGCATAAAGCATTCTGTGCACTCGAAGGCTCGCTGGTTTGAATAATTGCAAAACAACCGTCGCTCCTCCTGTGAGCAGAAGACATCATGTCTGATGATGTGATGCGTCATGGGAAATATTAATTTGGTTTAAAACTGGCAGGAAGAGGAGCACCAGGGGGGAAGTCCCCCGGTGATGCAAAAACCACAACCGAACCTATTAAGTGTTGGACAATAATGTGAAAAGTGAACAGCTTCCATGAGTCCAAGGAGAAGTCTCAATGTCCAAAACTCAAAGATATATATTCAGTATTCTTCCCTGATACATGAGTTGAACCTGTGTCACAACCATGTCCCTTCAAATGAAGCAACGTGAGTGAGCATGACGTTGAGCAATTGTGATCTGTAGAGCCTTGGAGGCGTTGGAGCCGCCACAATCAATATGTCAATAGATCAATAGATCAAAGTCTAACGTCGCATGTGTTGCTCGTAGTGATGAACCATAGAACATCTTTATAATTACTCTCAGATGCTTTTTAGCATCTTTTTAACTGATTGTTTTGGTTTTATGGCCCGCAACTTTTTTTGATTCTCTGTCAAGGTGTCGTTTGTCAGCAGCAGTCCGCTGATTACAGAGAAAAGGCTGTAAGAACATCTGTTCTCTACCTGCTCAGCAGCAAACAGCAGACAGACTCAGTTAGCGACTAGCTGGGAACATTGTGGAGCATTCAGCAGCTAAAGAGACATATTCCCGTGAGGAGGTGGTGGAGACCAAAAACGGAGCTAAAAAGAGACTCCAGGTGAATGATGCTATCTATGCTTGTTGTGTAAATACGTGACTGTTTGCTTAAAATTACACGAAAATGTGATGATATGCCGGCTGTTATCCAGCATTCATAACCTTTACCAACGATAAACAATGTGTTTTAATTCGTAAATATCCCACGAAATCATTTTGTATGTTTTCCACGTAATCACGAAGGAAGCAGAAAGATCGTAAAAGCACACATTTGAGGCGGATGTGTTCAACAACCAACAATCTTTCACCCAGAACACAGTTTGTTGCCCGTGTGAAACAAGAAGTCAACGTTGATTTATTTATCACGTTACTTGCGTAATGTAGTTCCTGTACTTCCGTGGTTATTTAAACCCAAACAACGAGTAGTTTTGTTGCCTGAACCTAAAGTATTTCACCATCTTTTCCTAAACCTAACTAATGTAACAGGACGGTACGGAGGACACAGACAATAGTGGCAGCACAGCAATCAGAGTATTTATTTAAACAACCTTCAAGTAACACAAAACAACAGAAAACCTATCAGTCTAAACTATTTCAGCCGGGCCGCTAGCCGACTTCCCAGTCTCAACTTTCTCCAACCGTGGAGATCTCAGGGAGAAGCGACTCTCCTCCTCTTGCAGCATCAGTGTCCCTGCTTGACATTTGTTCATCTCCCTGATGAGGAGATCAGCTCCTGATCCCAATGCTCTCCTGAAGGAGTGGGTGGAGCCCCCTCAGCCCCTTACACTACGTTGTGTCCTGTGAAGACAGAAGCGTATTTATTTTAAAGGCTGTATGCAGCACGTAGAAATGTACACGTGTTGATGGCTTTCGTAGGACAACGCACAAAAAATGAGGAATATCTTTTCACAAGATAAGATACGAACAGTTGCATGAGGATACGTTCACTACCGGCTCAGCAGCAGACAGACACGCTTAGATTATAGCCGGTGAACATGGTGGAGCATTTAACAGCTGAAGAAGCAGATCAGGAGGTGGTGGAGACCAAATACTGAGCTTAAAAGACGCTCCGGATGAATGCTACTGCTGCTTTGTGCTTGCTTGATATGGAAGGTGACTATTTGTTTAAGTTCTGCATGTCAACCTAAAGGTGATGATATGTCAGCGCTGTGCTTCAATTTGTTTCTGCTGCCCCCAAGTGAGCAAAAAAAATCAGTTCCTGCGACTGTAAATAGTCCAAAAATAGAAAGTCAACAATAAACGTACGTTTGTGTAACAGAGTAAATACATTGTGTTCTTTCTCATCCCGTTAATCATTTTATGACCCACCAGAGTTATTTATGGTCCACGGAGGATCCTGACTGTCCGTTGATCTGAACACATTCAAATGTGAAGTCTATTTATTTTAAAGAGCCGGTTTAACTAATTTGCATCGGGTTTTATTTAAAAAGAACCCCGGGGAGATGCGTAACTTTGTTTTATGTATTTTTCATTGACACAGTGGGACCATCTGTCCATCATGGCTCACAGCCAAATCTGTGAACTCAGAGTCTGGCACTGATTCAGCTGAGAACATGGACACGTGTTAAAAGGGTGCCCTGTTCCTGGATGAGCTTCTCTTCTTTTCAGTAATGCGCGCGGATTCCATCCACCCCAAAACAAATCATTTAGCTGCGTCCTCTAACTTTCCTTAAAGCACTGCCGTCTAGATTGCGGAGGGATTACAGATTAGGATCTGGGACAGCGGAGAGCAGTTGCATAATTAACTCCGAGGCGAGGAATTGAGTTATTCCTCCGGTTTTAAGTGGCACAACGTGGGCGGCGCGTCGAGGAGTCGATGCTGAACCAGCGGCTCCGCGCGGGACTCTCACGCTGGATGTGAAGCCGGAGTGGGGGGAGAGGAGGAGGGGGAGAGGAGGAGAGGAGGAGGGGGGGGGGGGGGGAGGAGGAGGAGGAGGAACACGACGGTGTAACCTGCGGAGGGAAAGCGTGCCAGCAAAGGGAGGTTTTTTTTTGGTCCGGGGCCAGCCGTGGAGCGGATGCGGTACAGTCCGTCTGATGGTGCGCGCGTCTCTCCAAAAGGTGGATTCGGTTTCCAGTCCGCGTAACACAAACTGACGCAGCGACTTCATTTGAGGAGAAAAAGCCGAAGTGAACGGAGGACACCTGAAGGGATCCTCCTCACTGGACTGGATCTAGTCTCTCTGGCCACGCGCCTGTTTCTCTGTTGGCGTTGAAGCAGCATCTTCTGCTTTTATTGTTTTTATTGGACACCATCAAGAAACGGTGCGACTTTTTTTTTTTTTTTTTTGCACAATTAAACCGAAGAGGGAGAGTCTCGGTGGATACAACGGAGTCACCAGAAGACATTTATTGACGCATGTGGACACTATGTGAACAATAAACGGGTGGAAATGCGTCGCAAATGCTTCGGTCTGCTCGAGGTAAGTTCTGCACTTTTGGCTTAATTTTTGTTTCTAAACCATCGCATCCGGGTTTGGACATTTCATTAGAAATATCGTAATAAACTCTTATTCAGCGGAATATAATCTTGATGCGAGAGGATGTAACACGGATATTGTCTCCATCTCACAGCTTCATCCATGAGATACAAAGCTTTCTCTGAACTGCGTTGGCAGTAATCCAGACTGCTTTCTGCATCACTGCATTTGTTTTGGAAAACAACAATCTGCATCATATTTATCAAATTAGACACACTGAAGCATGAGCCATGTGTTTGGTTCAGATGGCATGAGAAACACCATCCCAAGTGACTCGAGTCCTCCCATCAGTTGCTGATGCTGAAAACACCGATTTGGGACACATGGAGATTAAAAGTGTTAATGCACTCCTCTCACTTCCTGTTCTGTGTCTGGAATCCCAGAAAGGAGAAGTCCAATTAACATTTTCAACTCTTGAAAGCCTCCCCGGGATGACTCATGGGAGGCTTACGTTGGGGCACAGGGGGGCATGTGGTTGGTTGGTGATGCAGCAGAAGCCGGAGGTGAATCACTTGAGGAGAGCTGCAGCACTAAGAATAGTCAAGAATCCTCTGAACCCTCCTGGCTTCTATTCGCGTCCTCTATTGTTGTGACTTAAGACCTGGACCCCCACTCACGTGTCTGCTGTGAGGTCAAAAAGAAACTGAGTATTTACCCGAGTACTGTACTGTACTCTTCCCTTCTGAGGTACTTAGACTATTAAACTCACATGAAACTTCTCCAGTTGATTTCTTAATTAGGACAATTATTTTATTTAGTTTCATACATTTCAAGAACATAAACCTGAACATTGGATAATCCAGGTTCAAAACTCTTGTTTCATTTATGATATTTCTTTGTGTCGCTCCATAAATCAGAAAATACTGTCACCAACCATTCAAAGTCATGGTTAATCATGTTTTTATTAATAACGTAGTATAAATGAGTGTGTGAGTGGTGTGTGAACTAACCCCTCTGTGTGAACCTTCAGCACACAGAGAGGAATGAACGAGTGAAGTTTGGTGAATGTAAGAGCTGCTGAAGTGGAGATTTATCATCAGAGTCTGAGAACAAACTCATTTAGAGGAAACGTCCTTTAAAGAGACGTTTAGTTCCATTACAGACATTTAGAGACTCTACAGGTGAACACATGAACTCATGATATCACCATGAGACTTCACCACTTCATCACTCACATTAAGACTATTGTTTTTTGTATTACAAGTTTTCCGAAATGTTATGTTTCGATATGGAAATGACCTGCAAGGTATGCAAATGAGATTGACCTTTGCAATCGACAGACGCAGACAAAGTAGTAAAATAAACACCTGAATGTGTATTTTGAATGTTTTCTTTCCTCTATAGTCTGAAAGAAGACTCTCTAAACCTAAAACCAACAAAGTTTTGAGGTACTTTTCAGTATTTCAGTGGTATAAAAAGAAGTACTCAGATGTTATACTCAAGCAGCCGGAGCCACAGTTTACAAATACTCTGTTAGTAAAAGTCATGCATTCAAATATTTACTCGAGTGTAAAAAATAAACTTAAGACTGAATCTGCAAAGTTACTGTCGGATGAATGCTGTACAGTGAAGCGGAGTAGAAGTTTGAAGTAGCATGAAATAGAAATACTCAAGTGAAGTACAAGTACCTCAAAACTCTGCTTAAATAATGATTTCAAACCTTCAGGGAGGAACATTGTATTTTTTATCTTCTACCACTTGTGTTCAATTTTGCAGATTACTTTTCATACAAAAACTGATCCGATTATAAAACGTCATCAAGTCATTTTAATCAGAAACTGAGTTCTTAAATCAGAGAACTTCAACCTGCTTTCATTTAAAATCAATTTGTTTCAAGAGGAGATCGTTCTGCTTTATTGGCTCTTGATTCTGAGTGTTTGTGTTTGTGTCGGTGACATTTTGTGGTGAAACACACACCTCAGGGCTGCTGCTGGTTGACTGCAGCTCACAGACACTTTACATATCAGAGGCAAACATTAATACACAGCTGCAAACATCTTTAAGCTGCTTCACTGACTCAAACGCAGGTCTCTGTGCTCTGTAAGGTGTGAAAAGAAACCTTTCTGAAACAGTTGCCGCCAACGTTACTAGCCGTAGAAATAGAACAGACTGAGGAGCAGCTGGCTAATTAGCTATCTTGCTAATTCCAGCGCGCGTTAATGCTACACTGGTTACAGAAGATGAGCCGAACAGTGTGCTGGTCTCTAGTTGTCCCTCCGCCTCACTTCCCTCTGCTCCAGAGGAGGACGAGCTAACGAGCTAACTAGTCAACCGTCCGTCTCCTGAGCTGCGTCCGCTCTCTATATATATTTTTTGTATTTGTCAAATGACGCACAATGTCCTATTTTACTTCTATGTTTCAAGCTCTCTTCCTGTCTGTTTCAACACAGATTTCTTGTTCACCGTGTAGCATTATCAGGGATCTGCTGATTTTCACTGAATACCTGCCGATAACGATCAGCATTAAGACTTTATTTAACCCCCCGATGGGTGAACTGTGTAATCAATCTGCAGTTCACATGAGGCCAAACCAGAGAGTAAAACCAGTGGGACTAATGTAGAATAAGAAGATGCATTTGAAATAATAATGTTTATTATTATGACACATTATGATGAAAGCATCTGTCCCAAGGTCTCTCAGAGGACACCAACATGTCCAGAAGCAGCCGTGGAAATAGAGTCTGATTTAGAGCATTTATTAAACATGTAAAGCAGAATAAGCTGCATGTTTTTACTACATAAGAGAATATGGGTTTAAAAAGGTTCTCAGGACTTGATTGTAGACAGAAATGATGTTTTACCATCAAATAACCACAAAATATTGCTCACACATCAATGCTTCGCTCATAATAATCCTTTAATTCATATATAACTCTAGAAGTGTGGCCTTCTTTTTGTTGACAGTAATCCCGTGACTGTAGGCATGACATCTTCCACACCATTGTACTTTAATGGAGAGCATCTTCCACACACAGAAAACGACGCCCCGCTGAATAAACACAGGCTTGTTCCATCCTGTGGGTTCAGTCACGTTGTGGAGCTTTAATTAGGGGGAGGAGGCAGACGGCCGGCGGTACAGCAGGTGACGTCCTCTGATACCTGGCCAGGACTCAGTGAGCGTGAAACAGGCGCAGCGAGCCACCGGGGACGGTTCAACCCATGACATCTGCTGCAGTTACAGTCTGCGTGACGTGACTACGCACCCTGCTGTGACCATCAGGTATCAATGTGCCTTCAGCTCTCACATGTAATGAGACAAGAACAAAGTTTCATTCTTCACAGGAACGTATTCTTTAGGTTCTGCCAAGAAAGGGAAGAAGCGAAATGTGTTTCAGATGTTAATAATGAGAAGTATGTTTTATTCAAAGGGCCTGTGTGTAGGATTCTGGGGTAGCTTTTGGCAAAAATTGAATATAATATTCATACTTTTCCCAATTGTGTAATAACCTGAAACTAAGTGTTTCCACTAGTTTAGAATGAGCAGTTTTTATCCGTCGTGCTGCATACCCCCTTCAAAACATGACTCTACCAAATATCACTATCTGTAATGTAAGGGGACATATCCTAAGAAAGAAAAACAGATGTGCTCATTGGCTCCAAATACGAGTGGACCTGAGTCTCCCTGTGTTTCTGCCCCACAGTGTAAATGTGATTCACTCAGTTAGTAACAGCCGTGCTGTTGGTTTTAGTTGTGGGTGAACTGAGTTTGAAAATATGCCATGCCTGTTTTGTTTTTTCATCAAAATGATCTGTTGAATGCTCATTGGCTGCTCGAACACGACGAGAAAATGAAAAGCAGGAGTTTCTGTGATGGAACACAGACTGCTGGAGTCACATAATTCATCGGGGATGTCTCTCCCTCGTCCTTGTGTGTAAAACCAAAGACATGTGTGTCTTTATCAAAATGCAAAATACACGTTGTGCCCGAACCTGACACCAGTGATGGTATACCGCCAACCACGTGCACCGCCATGTTTCTACAGTAGCCCAGAGCGGACAAACCAAACTCTGACTCGAGAGAGAGTTTGTGTTTTTACCTGCAGGCTCTTGTGAAACTGTGGTACCGTCAGCCGCCGTCTGACCTCTGTTGCTCCTAAAAACCTGACCTCTGTTGCTTCAGGCAGCTCACGTTACCACAGTTGGAAAGAGGAGGAGTGAGATGGATGCTGTGGGTAATCGACTCAAGGACATCGACAGCGACATGCGGGGCCAACTCGAGAAAGGCAAAGTAAACCCATGATATTTTACGGTCTTCTCTGCCTCTCAATGAAACACCACTCACAGATGCATCACTGGTTTCCACGCGTCCCCAGTGCAGCACAATGCACACATTCACCAGCAGTCACGAGACATCCAGTCTGGATGCAGAATGAATCCACTGTGCTGTCGTGCACCAGCACCAGGGTCTCACCTGTTATCATCCCGGTTGTGTCAATGCAGCAGATGCTATAATACATCGTTGTGCTGAGAAACAAGCTGTTTCTTCAGTCACATGAGATCCAGCAGACATGTGCACATATTTTATTGAGTCCTTGTATCTGTAAACATGAAAGAGTACAAAGCGCTCCAAATTAGTCGAGAGGAGTTGTAAATACACGTATCATCGTCTGCTCAAGGGCACCGCGAGTCTTTCGGTTGGATTCAACTTCGCCGACTGTGTTGGGGGATTAAACGAGCTGCGTTGAACGTGTTCTGTTGATGTTTGATCCGCTGATTGGTGTCTCTTCTCTGTTTTCAGGTGTGCGCCATCATGAGCCTCCTGCCTTCAGGCTCTCTCGCAGACCTGACGTGTGAAGCTCTGCTCGTGCTGTCGGGAAATGTCTCCTGTAAGTCCATGTTTACAAGACAGCAACTGCTTTTAGAAGCAGTTTAGAAGCACAGTAATACCTGGTTATTAAACACTACACCGCAGCACACACCCAGAGAGCACACACACACACACGCACACACACACACAACCATGCACACACTAACAGGAAGGATCTTCTTGTTATTTGCCTCGGGCTTAATACTAAAGATGAGGTCTATGATATCAATGTTCTGTGTTATTATGCTGTCACATTTCTCCGGGACGACTCGGCACAATGTTGAACTTCTCCACCTTAAGTGACGAGTACGGCTCCAACTTGCGTCAATGAAGTGTCAAAGATAAAGTTTCAAAAAAGAAAAGCCCAAAATATTCTGTTTACAATAAAATAAAACGGAAAAGCAGCAAATTGTCAGAGTGGAGTCGCTGGAAGCAGAAGCTGTTAAACGTTTCTGCTTCATGACTTCAACGATAAATCAACTCAGTCGACAGAAAAAATGTTGACGTTGTAAGTTTCCACAAACAACGAGATACGTTGAATGGCAACATAATAACACAATGTACCATTATTTTGTACATTACTGAGGTGTGATGGGAGTAAAAAGTGAACTAAATGTTTGTTTGTCAGTAACGGTGCCGATCCCATCTAGAACTTTGTTACATTACTTTTGTAACTGTAACAAAGGTGCTTTTAAACACGTCCACACGTCACATATTCTGTATTTGAAGCTGTGGTGCTTCATTTAAATTCATGGCTAGATGAAGAACTACTTGGTTAAGGTCTCCCAAATCAAATACACAACAGACAAGAGTCACAATTCACATGGTGCTTAGAGGTCTTTGTCAATAATATTAAATATTTGTTGATTTACAAGCATTTGAGTGAACAAAAAAAACTTCTCAAACTAATCTGTTCTCATTTTAGATTTGTTTCTCTCACCACAAACGGGTTTTTAAAGAATCTGTTAGACTGAAGCGTCAACTATTCCCCAGAACATCCTTATTTCTTCTTGAGTTATTGCAGAACTAATAGCCTTACCCTCGGGGCACGTCTACATTCATATTTGCTGCTCCCGTCCCATTATTGCTGGAGGAAAGGTCTGTCACCAGTGTTTACCGTTGCCCTTTAATGCGCACCCTTTGTAGCTGTTAATCTGGATGTAATGAGATTTCCTTAGCCTTCCTCTGAAGTGTGCAAACAAAGATTGAGGCTATTGATGAATGTCTTTCCCTCTGGATTTTGCAGTACAGTCGCTGGCCTCCACCTGGAACCAAACCCTGAGCAACGCCACAGGTCAGTGGAGCGGTGAGTCAAAACACGTTTCCCTCTTTTCACAATGTGTGAAACTGATTCAATGCAGCGCTACAAAGCAGAGGTTGTTGTGGAACACCCCAGGCGAGGAATATGTTTGATCTGAACTCAGATTATAGACGCTAACATCAAAGACAATGCTGGAAATAGATTTGGAGACAACACTCTGGAGTAATCATTAAATCCCGTGCACACACACATTGTTCCATCCCCAACAATTTACCGCCGGAGCGCTGTCAGGATTCCAGCGTGGCTATATGTGGTCCCGAGCCAATGCCGGGAATGTACCGTACGGTCTGCGTCTGACATTTCTGTCCTCGCGCTGCAGGCTCGGGACTCTACTGCGACACCTCCGTCGATGGCATCGGCACCTGCTGGCCCAGGAGCGGCGCGGGCCAGATGGTGTCACGACCCTGTCCGGAGATGTTCTACGGCGTCAGATACAACACCACCAGTAAGTCCTCCCGCGTCAACGCTCCTGCAGCTAAACAAGAAACAGTAGATTCAAGAGAACCAAACCTCCCTCCACCCTCACTCGTCTTCCCCTCGGGCAAATCCTGTTTGCGTAATTGCGTACACAAAAACATTAGCATGAGCATACAAATGAACGAGAGAAAAAGTGTAGAAAACAACACATGTTCACAAAGTAGGACCGCTGCAGATAATACAGCAGAAAGAAAGAAGAAAGGACGCGATGTGTTTCTGTAGATGTTTGAGAGATCAGATTTTTGTGCTTTTCTTTAAGTAAGTAAAGTGGTTTAGATTTCTGCTCTGGTGTCGAACTCTACCTGAACTCCTCCGCACCACAGTTTCTTCAAAGGTCTTAACTCTTAAAGTACAACTGAAAGTTAATTGCTGCAGCAAACAGATCTGCTCTCTAGATTACATGTCTGCTGTTCTCTTTTGAAAAGAAATCTGTTGTTTTATAAGCTGTAGGAACGGCAGTCGGTCGTCCACCATTTTGTTTCTCCACTCAAATATCTCAACAACTACTGAGCATGGGTCGTCATGACATTACGTTCAGACATCCATGGTCCCCAGAGGAAGAACCCTTCTGACTTTGGTCATCACATTTTAATTTGATACCAATACTTTGGTTTATGACCAGATACAGGCGGCAACCTCCAGGTCTTCACCTTCAGTCAAAGCTTCGTGTGTTAAAGCTGCATTCTCTCTAGTGTCCACCAGGGGGCGACTCCTCTGGTTGTATAGAAGTCTATGAGAAAATGACTCTACTTCTCTCTTGATTTATTACCTCAGTAAACATTGTTTTCTGAGGCCGAAACCGCCGAACTCCACAAACCAACGAGTGAAGTCACAACGACTACGTCCACTTCTTACAGTCTGTGGTCAGATACCTGCACATCTAACGACATCACCATCAGCCTCAGCTGGGCTTTGTTTTTACTCTTCCACACAGTGAGGCATAAAGATTATTAATCAAACGATGGTATCAGCTGATACCCAAAGCCCAGGTAACTCTGACCATTTAAAAAGTAAATGATTCTGATCAAATATGGATCAGTAGTCTGTGACGTGGTTTCATTTATTGCACTGCGGCACTCTGAAGGTAAAACAAACGCAGCACAGAAAACACAATTCAGTACATTTAGGAGATAAAAGCCGACGTGTTTCTTGGTCATTTAAAGTGTGGAACCCCCACAGGACCCTGAGCTCAGAGAGAGAGAGAGACGGGTTATAATTCAGCTCACCAGTAATTTGATACTGCGAGGTTCAGTTCACCTTCAGCATTTCAACATAATCTCCATTCGAGCGCCGACTAAAAGCCTTAAAACAGACCTCCCATCAGCTGACTCCGCCAGCGAAGGTCAACAGTGGAACAAGGTGTTTACTTTACCGAGATTTAGGACCGAATCACTTTCTAAATGTTAAACCCCCCCCCCCATGATATCACCCCTGAAGTCAAGTTAAATGAAGACTTAACGTGATGGTGTATTTTTAGCCGGAATTTATTATTTATCCTTCTTGAATATTTCATATTTTTTTCACCGATGAGGTCAGAAGAGGCTAAAGGCAAAACATTTAATGAAGCTGCTTCGCCGACACTTCTTTTGCTGAAAGCTTCATTGTGAGAGGTATAGAACACGGTGACCTTAAAGAGTTTTCTCTCATTCACCACTTTGAGCTGAAAGCAGCAGTTTGTTCCTCTCCTCTTTCGTTAAGGACGCTGTGAACACAGCACACAGCACACTAAACAGCACAGATGAGTCTGATGGAGCAGCGGTGGAGGAGCTGATGGTGGCCACATGGGGTTTTATTACAGTTTAAAATCTGTAGATTAAATACAGCTGTTAAATATATGCACTAAAATGTACAATGCTTGCCTCTGAATTGTAGTATAAAGTGGCAAAAAGATGGAAACACCCAGGTATAAGTACCTCAACATTATACTTAAGTACAGTACTTAAACGTAAACGTACTTTCCACAAACGGTCCGCCTCTCTGCTCGCTTCAACAAGCAGCACATGTTGGACATTATCCGTCTTTATAGGAAGCGTGTCCGTTCGTGTATGATAGTTCAGAGGGTGGCACGTCTTGTGCAGGTGTTGAAAAGCCTGTAAAATTCCAAAATTGCTTCACAAGACAAAACGGTGCAACCAAAGATTGTGGAGACGCAGGCTGAACCGGCTGTGACCAATTAGTTTCCGCTCCATTTCATCGGTGACGGATTCACTGCCACCAGAAGATGAGGTTGCCATAAATTCCCGTGTGTCTAAGTGGCGCTGTGGTGTAAACAGCTGATCCACTTGATCTATTTTTAAGCTTCTTTCTTTTATTACACAAACACTTTTTTTATTCGATGAAAAAAGTCCAGTCAATACATAAAATATATTTTTTAAATGAAAGAAGGATAAGGAAAGGAAACGTATATGAAGAAGTAGTAGTAGTAGTAGTGTACGTAGTATTAGGACAATAATAAGTGGCTTTAGAGGAAGGCGAGTGCAGAGCGGCTCGTCCGGAGTGGCCACTTAAAAGCCTGAGTGGATGTGTTGCTTCTCCTCAGATCCAGAGGGAGATTATTGCAGAGTTCAAGTCCACGAGTGCAAAAGTCAGCTTTCCCTCTTTAGTCTGAGTTGTTGGTGCAGAAAGAAGATCCGGGACGTATTTCAGCCGCAGATCAACTCCCAACGCCAAGAGACAAATCCATGATACGATTTATAGACGAGCAAAACCAATTACACTTAAATTGGATTCTGAGAAGACGAAGACGAAGAAGAAGAAGAAGAAGACGAAGACGAAGAAGAAGAGTGATGCAAACTCTGGTGTCTGCTCCAGTTTCAGAAAGAATGACGAGTCATGAACCCAGAAATGTTAAGCCCTCATCTGGACCCACAAAACGTTACTCACAGACGATCATTAACAGATCAAAGGAGGAAACTGTAACAGCCGCACAGAATTCACATCCTTTACTTTAATAAAAGTACTAATACCACACTGAGGAAATACACATTAAAGTCCTGCAGTGAAGCATAATCAGAGAAACGTAGGTGAAGTCTTCTACTATTATATATTCTATCATTAGAGTATTAAATACTCGTGCATTCTTGTAAAAACAGGATTTTAGCTTATATTTAACTATTAGTTTATGATTATTCTCTCCCTTTAATCAAAAGAAAATGAGAAATGAAAGCCCAAAGTGACTCCTTCACAGTGTTCGTTAAGTTCAAAACTCAACATTATTAATAATACATAAACTTTACTACTAATACATTTACATTATTGACATTATTAAAAGGAAAAGCAGGAAATCTGAAAAAAGATTATTATCAAAATAGTTGTCAATTCATTTTCAGTCAGTCTTTTAATTGGTTATTAATTTCAACTGTACTTGTATAATTGGGAGTCTGATTAATAACAAATGATCATGTTTTGTGTTTTTAACAATCTTAATGTGTAAAGCAACTAAAGCTGTCACATAAATGTAGAGTGGCGTGAAGAGGAACTCTCTCTCTTGTAAAGTACAAGTGCCTCTGACGTGTCCCTCAGTAGACAATGTGAGTGAATGTACTTCGTTAAATTCCACCACTGCAGCGTTGAGTCTTTGTCTTTGTGCCGATGAAGTTGCAGCCGACATTTTCTCTTCAAATACAACCTGCTGCTAAAAACGCTGAACAGAAGTAAAGCTGACATCCATTGTGTGTGTGTGTGTGTGTGTGTGTGTGTGTGTGTGTGTGTGTGTTGGTGTCCATGCCCTGATTAGCAGTACTGTGAAACAGCACTTCCACGAATCAGGTTAGTAGGTAGCCAACCGGGCTGGACTTCCAAATTTAGATCGAGACAAATCCTCGATTTAAAGGGACAGCGCGTCGTTTTAGCGGTGTGGTTGAAGATTGCAACCAGCTGAAACCTCTCCGCTCACTCCTTCCTTTTACAAGACTGAGGTACCGTGAGCCGTTAATCCATTCCCTAACATACATATATACACATATATTAGCACAACTTTAGGAACAACGGAAGTTAGGGCGGTTAGACCTTAAGTTAACGTAAAAACATGAAAGTCTCTCTGTCGAGCTAGTGTTTGGTTTGTCCTTTCTGGGCTACCGTAGCAACATGATGGGCAACAATGTGGCGGACTCCGCCTCCCGCTCCCTGTGTAGATGTGAAGGGCTCATTCTAAGCTAACGAAAACACAACGATTTGAAATGTTGTTCTGAATGTTATATTATATTTCCGTTAATAGATTTCCTGAACTGCTGCACACTGGCCCTTTAAGTTTCTGAGCCGTAGAAGTGTGTGAACACGGCTTCACTCTTCTTCAATCAGAACGAGTCAAACTGATCATATTAGGACAGATGCTTAACATCGCTGGCCATCATTTTAATGCCTTCAGGTCAAGTCAAAACCAAGATAAACATATTAACACAGAAAGAATAAAAGAATAAAACCTGAGTCATGTGTCAGAATTATAGACTCAATAAGCTTTTTAAGGAGTTGACACGAAGCAAGTGTGAAAATCAAAAGAGGTGAGATGCCATAGAAACAATGAATTACATATGCAACAGTAAATATGTTTTAGAGGAAACATAATTATTTCAATTATTTGTATAGCTTTTTCTTAACAAAAGCTACAAAGAGCTTTACAGAGAAGAGGAAAAAATGTCCAACTGTTCCTTTAAATTGCCTTTTAAATGGTTATTAAAAGTCAGAAAATGCAAGAAAAGACTAGAACCCAGTCGCCAGAAAAATTGTTGTCATTTTATTACTTTTCTGCAAACAACGGACACATTAAATGTCGACGTTTCTAAACCCAAATTACGTTAGCTTGAAGAAATGAACAATGCCACATGGTTAACGTTGTGAAATCTTTACCTGTAAGCAGAAATAAAACACACAAGGCAAGTATTGATAACATTTAGAAATAAATAGCGCATCACATTCTGGAAAGAGACGATTTACCCAGTGACAGAAGTCATTCACTATAAGTGCTTAAAA